CGCGCTGTAGCGCTCCTGCGAGAACACCGGCGCGTTGTCGTTCACGTCCAGCACCCGCAGCGCCAGCACCCTGCTGCTCTGCAGCGCCGGCCACCCGCCGTCGGACGCCCGCACCGTCACGTTGTACTCCGACTGCTGCTCCCGGTCCAGCTCTCTCGCTGTCACCACGCGGTAGTAGCTGCCCTGCGAGTGCTCCAGGCGGAACGGGACGTCTCCGTCAAGGGAGCAGCGCACCTCGCCGTTGGCCCCTGAGTCTCTGTCGTGTACGTGCAGCAGGGCCACAACAGTCCCCGATGGGGCGTCCTCTGAGATCTCGCTCACAATGGACGACACTGTCAGTTCGGGTGCGTTGTCATTGACGTCTGTAACAGTGATAAAAACTTTGGCCGTGTTGGAGAGCTCTCCTCCGTCACGTGCCTGCACTTCCAATTCATGAGAGGAGATTTCCTCGAAATCCAAGTCTTTCTTGACAGTTATTTCTCCTGTCTCGGAGTCCAGATAAAGAAGTTCTGACTCTCGGTCTGAGATTCTCTGGAAACTATATTCCACTTGCCCATTCAATCCCTCATCAGGGTCGGTTGCCGTGACAGTGACGAGGACGGAACCCACGGGCACGTCCTCCGCCACACGCACCGTGTATTCCGCCTGGCTGAACACGGGCGCGTTGTCGTTCGCGTCCAGCACCGTCACGCGGATCCGCGCCGTGCCCGTCCGGGCTGGATCGCCGCCGTCGATCGCCCTCAGCACCAGCTCGTGGAACGCCGCCTCCTCCCGGTCCAGTGCCTTTGCCAGCACCAGCTCGGGACGCTGATCCCCGCCGGGGCCCGTCTGCACGGCCAGCGAGAAGTGCTCGTCGCCGCTCAGCTCGTAGCTCTGCAGGGAATTCTGTCCCAAGTCTGGGTCATGAGCCTCGGCCAGGGAAAACCGCGACCCCGGGGCTGTTGTCTCACTCAGTCTCAGTTCTTTCTTTGACTGTCGGAAGCTTGGCGTATTGTCGTTAATATCCGTGATTTCTACTTGGATTTCATAAACCTTCATTTCCCCCTCCACTATCAGCTCACAGCGCAGCACGCATTTCTCCACCAGCCGGCACAGCTGCTCTCTGTCGATCCTCTCGGCAATCACTAAATGTCCTGTCTTTTCATGCAGGGTGAAATACTGTGTCCTACCTTTGTCCAGGATACGGACTCCACGGTCGCCGAGCTCCAAGTGCTGCAGCCCCAGGTCCTTGGCCACGTCGCCCACGAACGAGCCCTTGGGCATCTCCTCGGGCACCGAGTAGCGCAGCTGCCCCCACGCCGCCTCCCAGGCCGCCAGCAGAACGCCCCAGAGCAGGACTCGCTGCCGCCGGTCCCAGCGCCTCCCCGCAGAGCACATCTCCACTGCAGTATCGTCGATCCAGGTCGCGCTCCGACTCCGGTTTTCACACCTGCTCACCGCTCTCGGCCTCTGCCTCCCGCCCCTCCGCACCGCTGGAGCTCGGCTCCGCACCGGGGGAACGTTCGCAAACCGCTCGGCCGCCGAGACAGTGAGTGAGAGGATGATCGAGCCGGTCCGCAGCGGGCGGGGCTGCAGCGCTCCGACCTTCCTCTCGCTCCTCTCGGTCAACAGCGGCGCCCGCAGCCTCCTCCCGGCACTGCAGGCACCGAGCGCTGCTGAGCTCTGTCTGCTCTGCTTTGCCCACGGGCAGATCGCGTGGGCTGGACAATCGCCACGGAAATATCGGACCCGTGCAACTGCCAGTCGCTGCCTGGCCTTTCTTCGTACCATCTCTTTGATCCTCGAGTTATCCACAGCTGAGAGGAAGGCAGAGTCCTCTCCTTGGGAGTGGTATTTCTGTTACACTGAAAAACTCAGTTGCAAATATCATTATATCTTATGTAAAATATTTTTCTCAGTTTTAGTGTGTATAATATTCTAAGGCCACTCCCTATAAGACTTCCTTTTGAGCACCGTACAGGAGGCTCCCCTACTGCTTGGAAATCATTCTCTCCTATGCCCACCCATTTCAGGCTATAGGTCACTTGAGCACTCCCCACTGACTGTACTACAACTTGCCATGAGGCAGGACGCAGCTGCAGTGAACCACGCCAGAATGGTCTTCTTGTCTCCCCACAAATCACAGAGCAAGAAGAAAAATAAATATATCTCCCTTGGCTCCTGCCCCTGTTCCCCAACCCTCTGAAACAAAATCGATAATTATTGTAGGCAGGTAACAGATTTGTTTACACATAAACAATTAATTCGATAGTTTTAGGGAGCTGGAAAAGCTTTTCTTTTTGTCAGAAGTCACTGTGTAAATGCTTTATGGTTTTAGAAAAGTAATCACCTAATAATTCAATCTCCATTTTGGTTCGAAAACTTTTAAACAAAATAGTGTAGGAGAGCAAGACAAGAAAAATTGTGCTGGATACCTAGGCTGGGCTATTTTTAAAGGTGCAAAAAGACTTTATTAGAGTCTATAATGTTTGTAATTTTGCATACTCCCTTGTAATTTTCTATATGAGTATAGGCCTCTCCTGGTAAAGCAGGTAGATAAAACAACTATTGCAAAAAGCCACTGAAAGACCTAAATCCTCAGTTTAGTACTCCACAATCCACATGATCTACCAGGTCCAAGCACCTCTCTTTGGGACGAAGGGATCAGACAAATGGAAGACTTTGAAACAAAACTAGATGTGGGGTTTGGGTGGGTTTGGTTTTTTGTGGGGGCTTTTTGTATTCTTTTGGTTTGGTTTGGAGTTGAGGGTTTTTTGTGTCTTGTTTGTTTGTTTGTTTGTCTGTTTTTCATATCTCACTTAACATCTTCACCAGAAAAGGATGGGGGGAAAAAAAAAAAAAAAGAGAGAAAGTGAAAGAGAACTGCAGAGAGAAACGATGCCTCGAATAAATAACCAGTCCCTCCCGGGTTACCATTTCTGATGAAACCTTATCATAAAACATGGTCGACGCTTTCTTCCTTCAGGGAGGAACAACCTATAAACATCATCTTTCACTTCGAAAACACGCATATTTCAGGGGAAAAAAAAACCCAAACCAATCAACAAGAAAAAAACCAACAAACTCCAAACATCAAAATTTTTTTTTGAGTTCTGTCACGTTCTTTCTGCAGAGAAGGAAGCCGTGTTTACCTTTGAACTAAGAAATAACTGTACAAAACAAACCCCGTGAAGATCATGCTTGGATAAAATTTATCCATCTACTTCATGCTGCCCTTTTTGCAACAGCATTCACTCAAAACATGAGAGGACACAGGGCAACTTGGAAAACAGTATTAAAAGTGGGTTTTAAATTAAACAAATAGTACTTGGGGGAAAATTATTCAGCCTCACTAGTGTTACTGTATGTGAAGCACACTTCTCTCAAATCACGGGGGGACAAACGGAAGAGGGTTAAGACAAGCATGTGGCTACTCAATTTGTAGAGCCCGACGCACGTTACATTTCGGAGTCTATATCAAAACAGTACTGACCAGGTGCAAGCATATCAATCTAGGAAAAAGCTATCAGAAGGAGAAACCTCAAATACCAAGCGTTCAGCTCATTTTTTCACCATGCACGATCACTAATTTACTGCGTTCACAGGTAATTGCTTAAAGGGGCGTTGCAGTCATCAAAATCTAAGCAAAAGCTCTGCCAGAGGAAGTTTAGGTTAGATATTAAGAAGAAATTCGTTACAGAGAGGGTAATCAGGCATTGGAAAGGCCTGTCCAGGGAGGAGGGGTTTCTCCATCCCTGGAGGTATTTAAGAAGAGGCTGGATGTGGCACTTAGTGCCATGGTCTAGAAACTGCGGTAGATGTGGATCAAGGGTCGGACTTGATGTCATCTCAGAGTTCCTTCCCAACCCGTCTAATTCTATGATTCTGTGAAGTGCAACAGTAGCTGTGAGACTCGAAGAATCAAAAGCCTCGGCTGACCAGCCTACCGAGAGTGGAAAGGTGAAACTATGTTTCTTACTTTCTTCAGGGATCAGCTCAACCCAAGCACACAATTCATGGGGAAAAACACAGAAAAGAAGGTGAAGCCTGTTAAGAAAGGCTCAAGGGGAACAGCGTGAGCTTTACAGACCTGTGGTGCGTCGGTGTCGGTGGGCGGTTCTCCCGCGACGGCGCTGCTGCTCGGGCTCGGCTTGTCGCAGGGCTCCCCGGCCAGAAGCTCCTCGGCGGGCAGGATGGGCAGCGGCGGCGGCGGCCAAGCGGCCTCGGCGGCGGCGCGGGCCGGCGCGGCCACGCACAGGTTGTAGGAGTAGGGCAAGGTGCCCTCGCAGAAGTCGGGCGGGAAGGCG